CTAACCCACATTAGTGCCTTCATAAATCATCTGAAACAAGGGTTACGTCAGTTTGCTAGGCAGTTGCTAGGGTGTGCTAGGGCGTTGCTATCTGGCAGCTAGGCGTTAATATAATAATAATAATAATAATAATAATAATAATAAAAGTATAGTGCTTTGCAATGGCAAGCACCACTCACACTTATTGTTATTATTTTGTATTAATTAATTAATTAATTTTTTCTAAGTGATGATTCTCATAAATTCCCAAAGATTCCTATTAGTTTAATACAGTATTACACTAACTATTAATATTGTCACATGTCATTCAGTTTGGACTTTGTTTTCTTCTTGCACCATTCCCCTGCATTGTGTTAACTGTGTCATTCTGCTCGGGTGCCCGTTCTTCGTACGTCGCTAACTCAGTTAGCTGGATTTGATTGGTGACGATTTGGCATGATCTTGGATTATGAATGTGTGAATGTGAAGTGAAATGTGGCCAAGTATGATGACCCATACTCAGAATTTGTGCTCTGCATTTAACCCATCCAAGTGCCCACACACACACACACACACACACCGTGAACACACACCCGGAGCAGTGGGCCATATTGCGCCCCGAGAGCAGTTGGGGGTCTGGTGCCTTGCTCAAGGGTCTCACCTCAGTCGTGGTATTGAGGGTATAAGAGAGCACTGGTCATTCACTCCCCCCACCCAATGTCCGTCCTGAGCGCTCTCTCATCCCCATCATGAGTAGACACGCCCCTTACAGCTGATTGGCTACAAGTTTGTTTTGGTACTTGGCCCGACTAATTTTTCTAAAGCGTTTTTGAAAAAATACATACCCCACCTTTAATTATCCTTGTTTGGTCTGTGAATTCAAGATCCTGTGTTTTCCGTTTTAGTTTGTCCGGTCTCGTCTGCTGCCTGTGTGATGGAATACCTGTTTGTTGGATTGCCTATGTGTTGGATAAAAGACTGTTGGAAACCTTCTTCTTCATCTTTGTGCGTTTAATACAGCATAGCTGTGACAAATACAATTATTAGTTTGTTTTTTTGTTTTTTAAATCAGAATAAATTAAAAGGCAGTAAAACATACCACTATAAAATATAAACACTTTATCTAAATGCAAGTATAAACAAACAAACAAATAAATAAATACATTCAGAAATGATAAAGATTATTTATTTGTTTATTTACTTTGTACTAATGAGATTTTGGGAGAAAATGTGCTTAATTTTTTTTTTAATAATCTTTACTGTATACAGTAAAAACTTTGTAATATTATTATTTAACATTGTTTAAATAATATACATAGTAATGCGATTTAGATTTTTATTACACAAATGAGAGTACAGCTTCTTCTTCTTCTTCTTATTATTATTATTATTATTAATAATAATAATTTTGGAGTGGAATTTGACTCAGACATTGAGCTTTACCTGTAAAATTTATTCATAACCTATTTGTTGATTTGTGTTCTCCATAGTATTATTTCTACTCGAAGCACTCAGGAGTATGGAACCTGAAGTAAACATTGAAGAGTGTGTTTTCTGTTTTGTTTTTTTGTGCCTGTGTTACTTCAAATCTGTAGTTTTTGCATCCCTGAGGCTTGTATGTCAACAGCATTCTTACTGTTCCTAAAAATGAGGTTGTTCCCTGTTCGCAGGATGACTTTACCCGCAGCTAAAAGCTCAAATCTACACCAGAGATTGGATTTCTCGGACATACTTCTTCTGTATGTGTGTTGATGCATTTCACCAGTGAATAATTTAGGTCCATGTGTGTATTGAAATTTATCAACATGGCAGTCTAGAGACAAGACAGACATGACATTTGTGCTTTGGGTTGAGTGCTCTGCTCACATGAAGTCATTGTGTAGCAGCAGGAATTGTCTGACACACTGTGCTCAGATTTAGGAGGAGCTCCAGGCATCAGCTAGCAGAAGTCAGCAGTGTTGTTGGGAGCTTACAAATATGTGTGGATAGATGAACAGAATTACTTTCCCCAAGGAGAAATTCAGATGCAAAACAATAGCAGCATTGAGCGTAAAGGTCACAGAAAACATCACATTCAGAGACATAGTGTAATCAAACTAGACATTTCAAAATATGAATGCATTGTCCTGATAATAAGGAGTTTTCTTTTGACATTTCATGTAGAATTAGTTTCGCATGACCAGAATTTTGACTATCAGCATGAAATATTGTCCATTGGAGCTTATTCTGGCCAAAAACTGCCCAGTTAGACAGAAAGAGACTAACTAATTGATGTGGATACTGACCAATTGCAGTTTAATAAAAAAAATTTTTTTTCATTCTGTTTTGGGAGCAAGAAACTAAAGAAACAGCAGTGTTGGTCTGGACCAAATGAATGTTCTGCAAATTGTCATTTTTACTAACTAAATACTGATCGTTTTACATCTACACTAATGTTCAAAAGTTTGGGGCCAGTATGATTTTTTTCCAGGTTTTTAAAAGAAGTCCCTTTCACTCACCCAGGCTGCATTTATTTTATATAAAATACAGTAAAAACAGTACTATTATTAAATATTGTTACAATTCAAAATAACAGTTTTCTATTTGAATATATTTTAAGATGTAATTTATTCCTGTGATAGCAAAACTGATTCATGTGGATAGTGACCAGTTGCAGTTTATTTTTATTTTTATTTTTTCATTCAGTTTTGGGAGCAAGAAATTAAAGAAACAGCAGTGTCGGTGTAGCGAATCAGCTCAAAGGGGAAATATTAATAATTAATCATAACTAGTTATAATTAATTATAAATATTTAGATCCGCTGTAAGCATTAATTTGACCTCTCAGTGTCAACTGTCTGTTAATTCTAAGAACGTTAATTTCCTATTTAAGGCAATTAACTTTCTTACTGTCCAATACTACACAGAGCACGTAGCAAAAATCTGCATGATTAGGGACTCCAGTTATGAGCAAACAATGAACAACCTCAAGTGTGATACAAGTAAGACTTTATTAACTACATAAACACTTAAACTAGTCTAACATACATGCACACATACAGTTGGTAAAGGAAAAGGGTAAAGCTTAGGCAGTAAAAAGAAGAGAAATAAAAACATGAAGCTATTGTACCATTTGATATTCAGCAGATCTACAGCCTGAAGGAAACATCAGTTTCTTAGTTTAAACACACCTTTGTAAAAAGGTGCCAATTATACTTAATGTATCAATTAATAAGATACTTACGTCTTGTCTGTCTGAAAGAGAGTCCTGATGCAATCTGAAGGCTCAAGTTGATCTTTGCTTTAGTTGGTTGATGAAAAAGAACCAGTTTGAGGCAGAGGATCTTGGTGAATCGAAAGTCAAGGCCGAAGCCTGGCACGAACTTAGGGTGTCCTTAGGAGCGTTCTAGCTCACATCCTCATCTTCTCAGAATCTAACAGAACCGCAGACTGAAGGCGGGTCACTGATGTGAGGCCTTTAAGGTCTGACAAGATTCACGCCTCTCAGGATGGGCTTGTCCAATGAGAAAGGCTGAAATTCCAAGCGGGAGGTTGGAAATACTGGGGAGTTTTATGACTCTTTGTCTCCAAGCATGGTATTTCGCATATGTAATTCGATTGGCTGTTGATGCACAAACTAGTAAAGATTCTTAGAACATAAATATGTTGTATAGGTATCAGCATGTAATATGCACTCTCAAGTAGATCATCCGAAGATGAATTCATAGAGACCAAACATGATATAGGTGAGGTTATATTAACTAGTGGTCTATCATAACATGCATAAAAAACAGTATACAATTCAAAAGACAATATACACGAACAGTAATGGTATACACAATGTCCTGAGGAGATGTGTGTTCATTCACAGCAAGGCTTTCCTATGAATGAATTAGAGAAGAGTCCATTTTTACTGTGCATTATGTGTCTTTCCTATGGAAAATGTAGTGAGAGGGAGAACTCTCAACATGCCATTAGGTCGTAAAGTGTATCTGGTCTAGCAAAGGTGTCATGGATGCCATGGTGACCAGGGGTCTGGTATCGTTCACAGACATCCTGGCACCCAGTATGTGTATTGGGAGAGGGGTCTGTGACTATTTGTTAATCTAATGAATAATTGATTTGTTAAATCTAATGTAAAACGGTGTGTCTGGTTGGTCCATACGCTACATCGGTTTCAGCATCATTACTCCAGTCTTCAGTGTCACGCGATCCTTCGGAAATCATTTTAATGTGCTGATTTGCTGCTCAAGAAACATTTCTTCTTATTTTATCTTATTTATTAATTTATTTGTTTATTTTTAGGTTTCTTTGATGAAGAGAAAGTTCAAAGAAACATTTGTATTATTATTTTTTTTAAATATAAATCATTTGCAATGTTATAAAAGTCTTTACTGACGCTTTTGGTGACTTTATTTGCATCCTTGCTGAATAAAAAGCATTAATTCTTAAAAAAAAAAAAACTCAAACTTTTGAATGGTAATTGTATAAATAGTTCAGAGATTTGATTCCAAAAACCTCATGGAAGTTGAATGTGATTCATTTGGTTTCTCTGCAGGATGAGTATCTTAACGAAGACGTAGACGCTCGAGTGATTGAATATGAAGACAACCGGCCGCTGCTGGACCTGTTCCTTCAGAAGCCCATGGGCATGTTAGCACTACTGGACGAGGAGAGTCGCTTTCCTCAGGCTACTGACCAGACCCTCGTCGGCAAGTTCCTCTCAACATCTGACCTTCTCCCTGAAACATCATAGAGCTTTTAGCTTTAGTATTGTTCACCTGGTGTCTTATGACCAGGGATACTTACACTGTCTCTCTCTCTCACACACACACACACACACACACATGCACACAGACGTACATTCAGACCCACAAGAAAAAGGGGGAGGCTGTCATCAAACATTTACTGGCATGTTAAGTTTTCATCTGCTTTCTCTAGAGGATGCTGTCAATGAAGTCTTTGACTGACAGCTGAATAATTCAACATGCCAAGACTAGACGCCTAGCTGTTTTTCCATGACTTAGCTTTATTGCTTTATACTGAATGAAACGGATAGATGGATTAATTAATGTGTATCTCATGTTATCACGAATGGATGAATGAATTAATGAGGGTTGGGTCAGTGAACGAACAAATGTATGTACAAATGAGCAAATGAATGAATGAACTGACACAGATGATGAATGGTTAAATGTACAAACTAAGTAAATTATTAAATTAATGAAAATTGTGAATGGACAGGTGTGCGAATGAATTCATTGTAATTAACAAGCAGTCGTCTTTTGTTCATTCAGAGAAATTTGAGGTCAACTTAAAATCCAAAAACTTCTGGAGACCAAAGAGGGTTGATCTGGGCTTTGGAATCCATCACTACGCAGGCAAGGTAGAAATATTTTATCAATATTTATTTATGCATCTTTTTCAAACATACTACAGAAACAAAGATATGAAAGAGATTGTTTACACAAAAAAGGAAAATTCTGACATCATTCACACACATAAATGATCCAAACAGAGTTTTCACAGCAACGCCATTAAAGAACCATTTTGGGTTCCCCAAAGAACATTCTATTGAACTGTTCTTAAAAGAATATTTTTTTTTATAAGTGTGAAAAACCTTTTAATAATCTCAAGAACCTTTTCCCACTATAAAGAACTTTTTTGTGCAATGGAAAGGTTCTATGGATGTTTACTTTATGACTTACTTTCTTCGTTCTTCTCAAAAATGTAATATTTTAAACAATGTTGGTAACCAAGAAGTTTTTTTGTCCATTGTATAGAAGAAAAAAAATAATTTCTTATAATATCCATTCTTTTGTATGTGAGGGTGAGTGAATGATGACAGAATTTTTTTTTTTGGTTGAACTAACCCTTTAAGCCAAGTTCATCTGTGAGAATAATAGTCTATTAGATGCAAATACATCTTGTTTCTCGTGTGGTTAGGTGATCTATAATGCCAGTGGTTTTCTGGCTAAGAACAGAGATGCTCTGCCTGCTGACATTGTTCTTCTGCTGAGGTCTTCAGAGAATGAACTGATCCGTAAACTGGTTACTCACCCGCTCACTAAAACAGGTTTGCTTTAACTTTTTACTCTGTACAACTATTTAATGCCTTTGGTTTATCTACCATTTAGATGCTTCAGTTTCTGTCCATTTGTATTGCTGAGGAACCCACAAATCTACACACATTCATCCAGACATGCACTTATAAAGCTTTCGGTCTGTCTCTCATTAGCCCTCTCTGTATGAGACAGATTTTCTAAACAGTGACCTCTAACAATGTGTCGGTCAACCCAATCACTGTGTAATTACCTCAATCAATTACACATTTTTGCCATTGTGCTGCCAAAAAAAAAAAAAAACATTTTGAAGAACATTTTGTTGCTTTGAGTAGATCCACCAGTTTCCACGACTTTAGTTGTGGACAGCAGAGTTCTGCAGTAGTACTTTTCATTGGGACCCCTAGATTAGGATAGGCGATACATCTGTCGATATTTATTGGAAAAAATAAATCTACAATATTGAAAATAAACTTTTGTGTCTGTATATATACATGCAATTTAATAAAAGCTATCATCAAATACAAACTTAAACTCAAATGTCTTTATAACAAACCTCAAAAATAACAAAGTTTGCTTAAAATTGAAGTTACTTATTGATCATTCAAATTATGATAGAAATATATTGCTGTTGACTAATGTGTCAAACTTACTTCTTAAAAGTAGCAATATAATATAATATAATATAATAATTAATAAAACGGTTAGTTCTAGTCCTTGATTCTGATTGGTCAACAGCTGTATTTTATTCACAATAAAGCAGACTATGACTGCTTCACTCAACAGTTATGTGTATCACTGCGCAACACTCCTTAGCAACCATGTATTATGTATTTCACACCCTTCCCCAGTTAAAGAAACTCTTCTCATATGGGAGATGTGTGCAGGTGTCTGTGTGGAAACCCACAGTTTCCGAAGTGCGGAGGGAATGTTACTGTAGTTATTAGTTTTCTGTTTCATGTGTTTTATTGTATGTCCGTCAGTTTACACTGTAATGACGTTTGCAAACTCACGCTGTGCCGTGAATCGGTCTGTTTTAAAGTAAAAGATGGAAAGCACACGATTTCCAATAAACTATCAAGAACTGTTTAAATGGAGCAAATGCCACATTATCTAAATTTCATCCAAATAGAAAAGTAGTCCCAATTAAAATGACACGTTGCAGCTCAAAGAACACTTTTTAGTATAAACAAATTTATATTAGTGCTTTAACAAAAAATACAAATTGTACGCTTTTAAACCCTCTAGTCAACATGCGCCATAGACTATAATTACGAGCGCACACATTTATCCTTTAGACTAAGGGACAAGTGACGAGGGTTGCTAACAGTATGACACAGATGACATTTATAGATCTTAAGTTGTTATTAAGCCAAAATATTCTTCTAACTGGTGCTCCTCTACATGACCCACTAGAGAAAGCAATATTACTGTTGTCTGACTAAGCATACATTGCATGAGCAGCCAAATGATCGGTATAGTCGCATTCTATTAGATTACACTGCATTATAGGCCACACCACAATGTCACAGAATGCAAATGACAGTGCAAACACCATCCTGTCTGAAACGTTAAGCAGGGATGTTGATCTATTGGTCAGAGCGAATGTGTGTAGCACTCTCTCTAGAAAAGAAAATGTGCTCTCTCCCATGTGATCTGATGTGATGAATGGATGTCGTCTGACTGACACAGCCGATTACGTCCAGTAAAATTCACTGGGGATTGTTTCCAGGAAGTCTGCTGGGATTTCAAACCTAGGCTTCATTTGTTAGGCTTTTGTTAGCTACTTGACCATTGTGAAGATTATTTATCTGTCAGCACTGACCTCTAAAGACCATACATCTCAGTTCCCTTGAGAAGGTTAACCTTGCAATAAATGGTAGATTATCTTTGAAGGACATGTGATCAAATCTAATGAAGTATCAACAACAGATTTCTAATGTGTGTGGTTATCGCATTGAGAGCAGATATTTCCCCTGACCTCTCTCTTTGTGCAGGTAACTTGGCTCACACTAAGGGCAAGGCTGCTGGCTCTGCTCGTATGGGCACACAACAATCACAGCGCACCATTAACTTTGCCAAGGTACGTTGTTTTGCCCACTTCTCCTCTCTGTACTACAGAGCTCCTAAAAAAAAAACATTATATTTTGTTATATTTCAACGCAAAGCATTGCATTCTCCCGATAAACTTCATATGGAAATAATATGAGGTGTAAGGAAAAATAATACAATTCACAAAATGTAGTGCTTTTGTGAGCAAATGCAAAGTTTCTCAGGGAATGCAATTGTTTTGCGAGAGAACGCATGCAAAGTTTCTCTGGGGAACGCAATAGTTTTGCGAAAAAATGAAAATATTTTGTGAGTAAATGCAAAACTTCTCAGGAAAATGCAATACTTTTGTGAGCGAGCGCAAAATTTCTCGTGGAAATGCAATAGTTTTAGAAGAGATCGCAAATGTTTTGGAGCAAATGCAAATTTCTTGTGGGAACACAATAGTTTGTGAGAGAATGCAAATGTTTTGTGAGTAAATGCAAAGTTTCTTGAGAGAACACAGTAGTTTGAGAGAGAATGCAAATGTTTTGTGAGTAAATGCAAATATATTGGTGCGAACGTAAAGTTTCTCTTAGGAACGCAATAGTTTTAGGAGAAAATGCAAATGTTTTGGCGCAAACGCAAAGTTTCATAGGAAATGCAATAGTTTTCGGAGTGAATGCAAAGGTTTTGGAACAAATGTTAAGTTTCTCGACAGAAACCGAATGTTTTGTGAGCGAGCGTAAAATTTCTCGGGGAAACGCAAAGGTTTTGGCGCAAATGCGAAGTTTCTCGACAGAACACAAATGTTTTGTGAGCAAGCGCAAAATTTCTCAGGGAAACACAATAGTTTTAGAAGAGATTGCAAATGTTCTGGAGCAAATGCAAAGTTTCTTGAGGGAACACAATAGTTTGCGAGAGAATGCAAATGTTTTGGAGCAAATGCAAAGTTTCTTGAGCGAACACAATAGTTTGCAAGAGAATGCAAATGTATTGGTGCTAACGAAAAGTTTCTCTTAGGAACGCAATAGTTTAAGGAGAAAATGCAAAGGTTTTGGCACAAATGCGAAGTTCCCCTTTGGGAACTCGAGCTGCTTCGGAAAACGCTAGGGGAACGCCTTCAGCGATACCAAGCTCTGAATCATATGTGTAATCAGTCGAACGATGGGCGAGACATCCGCGGCGGGTGACGTCATGACCAGGAAGCTTTAAAAGTACGTGAGGTGCCGCCGGCGCTAGCTTTCTGTCATTCAGCGAAGCTCTCTGTGTGTGTCGGTCACGATTTATGTTCTGTGAGTCTTATTTGTTGTTGTCTGTCCAAAAAAGTGCACAAGCATTCAATATAAGCTCCAGCAGCGAAAGAAAAGGAATGTCTAAGCAAAAGACAAAAAAGGGCGAAAGTAGATCGCGTTACAGACTTTGTGTTCCTCCCTGCCCACGCTACATCACGAGCGGGGATACACACAGTTTGTGCGTGGTCTGCTTGGGAGAGGAGCACGTGGCTTCGGCTCTCGAGAGGGCCGACTGTCCGCATTGTGAGCAGTTGCCACTGTGTTTGCTTCGCTCCCGGAAGGCTCTCTTTGAGGAGGGAGCCTTCACCAGCGTTCCTCACGGTGCTGGCGCGGAGCGGCAGCTGCACTCGTGGGGTTCGCAGCTGGATCTGGTGGAGGGAATGGAGATGGGCGAGTCCCTATCTTTGAAAGAGAAGGACAGGGTCTGCCTTATGGATGCCCCGCTTGCGCCTTCTGGTCTGTTCGGCGACGCCGTCGATTCGGTCGTCGACAGATACCAGGAGGCCCGTAAACAGGCGGCGGCATTCCAGCGGTTTCTCCCTCGCCGTTCTATAGCTCTGGGGGCTGCTGGGCGGGAGCAGCCCCAGCCGGGTACCAGCTCCTCATATAGGAAGGTCCAAAAACAGAGTGTTGCCTCTCGCGCTCCCCCGCAGCGGGACCGAGGCCGGCGGCGCTCTAAGTCGGGGGCTTCTAAGGCGAGGCCCGATCTGAGGGTCGTAGCCCTCGACAAAGCGGTCCTGACAGGCATAAATCCAGGACTGCTGAGGGCGGCCCCTACTGGGGAAGAGCGGGGTGCATCGCATTACACGGTGTCCGTCTCTCCTCAGCGCCCTCAGGAAACCGTTCTGCCAACCCGGCCAGTGTGCCAGGGCGCAGCGGTCTCAAGCGAAGGTTTTTCTCGGTATTTTCCGCCCGGAAACGTAGTGGAGCCGAGAGCCTCGCCACCCCTTCGGGGGTCTCTAAAGCAGCTAGTTCGGCGAACTCCTGCCGGTCCGCCGCTTCAGGGCACCCAGCTAGCAGCTACAAAGACACCAGAGGCCA